AGCAGAGCTGGCACGGCATGGAGCCGCTGCTGCTGGAGGAGCTGCAGGTTTTCCAGGTGGGTCCCTGTGCTGGGGGCTGCACACCTCCCGTGCCCCGTCTATAACTGCTCCCCTTGCTCTCCTGCAGGACGCGTCCCCCATCACCAGCCTGCAGCTCTCCTCCAAGCGGGTAAGAAGGAGAGGGCTGAGCCCTGCCGGACTCACGGGCCCCATCGCAGGGGTGCTGAGCCCCCTCTCCCTGCAGCAACAGCTCTACGCCAGCTCAGCCACCGCCGTGGCCCAGCTGCCCCTGCACCGCTGCGGCGCCTACGGCAAGGTGTGCGCCGAGTGCTGCCTGGCACGGGACCCTTACTGCGCCTGGGACGGCACCGCCTGCACCCGCTTCGTGCCCAGCACCAAGAGGTATGTCGCGCTGGGACCCCGCGCCCGGAGACGAGAGCGCACCGTGCAGCCCACGCCTCTCCGCAGGCGCTCCCGCCGGCAGGACGTCCGCAACGGGGATCCCAACCTGCTGTGCTCCGAAGGTGTGTGGGGCTGCGGGGCGCGGACGGCGCGCCTGCAGCACGGTGATGACGGACGCGGGGTCTCGTCCCGCAGAGCCATCGCAGGGCCGCGTGCCTCAGCGGCAGCTGTACGGGGTGGAGGGCAGCAGCGCTTTCCTGGAGTGCGTGCCCCGCTCGCTGCGCGCCCGCGTCTCGTGGACGTACCAGCGCGGTCCCGACGCTCCCCAGCGCGAGGTGAGGGCCGCGGGGCGGGGCGGGGGATCGCTCCCATCCCCGTGCCCTGACCGCCGCCCGGGCCGCAGGTGCAGCCGGACGAGCGGGTGGTGCGGACGGAGCGGGGGCTGCTCCTGCGCAGCGTGCAGCGGCACGACGCCGGGCTCTACGTGTGCCGGGCCACCGAGCAGGGCTTCACGCAGCCCGTGCTGCGCCTGGCGCTGGGCGTCCTCGGCGCCGCCGCCGCCGCCCCCGGGGGTCGCGCTCCTTGGTACCGGGACTTCCTGCAGCTGCTCGAGCGGCCCGAGGCGGCCTGCGGGCGGCTGCGGCCCCCCCCTCCCGCCCCGGCCGGGCCCCCCGCGCGGCGGCGGGGCGGGACGGAGTCGGAGCGCGGTGCGGAGCCGCGGGCCGCCCGACGCCGCCGTACCCGGGGCGGGCCGAGAGCCGAGCGCGGGCCCCGCAGCGCCTCTGCCCGGTGAAGCCCCCCCGGGGCTGCGCGCAGCGGACCGGGAGCGGCCCCCCGGTTCGGCTGAAGGCGCGGGGCGGGGGGGCGGTGTATTTATTGACGGCTGGGAACGGTGGGGGGCGGCCCCGCACGGCGAGGGGGTCCCGGGGCTCGGGTGGGGGTGGGTTCGGGCGGGAGAGGGCCGTCCCCCTCGGGCTGTACTGATGGAGCTCAATAAAGCAGAGGAGGCAGCACGGGGCCCGGCTCAGCGGTGTGTGCCCAGCAGGGAGCGTCCCCCCTCTCTCCTTATCCTGTAGGATGCCGGGCACTTTTCCCCGCCCCTCAGCTACACTTTCGTTTCCTGCAAAACCGAAACCCGAGCTCAGCACTTCCCCGGCTCGGCTCAGCCCCGGCGATGACCGCAGCCTGCGGTGACGCAAGCCCAGCCCCGCTCCCAGCCCCTGTCCTGGCGCTGCGGGCACAGCTCCGGGACCCCCGCAGCGGCATCACCACCACCGTGCCCAGCTGGCCCGGGGACAGGGTGCCCCCGTCTGTCCCATTGCTGCCACCCCCCTCCCTGGACCGCGGGCGATTCCACAGGAACCGTTTCTTCTCCCCCAAGCAATAGCATCTCAGAGCGGTGGACATACGCTGTCTCCGTGCTCCCTGGTGTTCAGGTCCCCCCGATCCACTCCACACCCCCAACAGTACGAGAATGTTTCACAGGTTTTATTCCCAGGCTTGGGGCAGGGCTGCAGGCTGGGGATTAGGGTAGCTCAGGAGGGCACAAACCATCGGGGAAGGGGTCCCGCACCACCCCGCAGCCGCAGCAGCAGGTAGATGGTGCTGCGGGGCTGCACGCCGTAGTGCTCCAGCCTGTGGTGGTTCTCCAGCTCCCTGGTCTCGTAGGTCAGGCGCTGCTGCTCCACAGCCAGGCCCTGCCGTGCACAGATCTGCTGCTTCAGCTGCCGCACGGTGTCGCTGGGCCGTACGGTGTAGACAGTGGTCTTGTTGTTGCTGTCCTTCACCAGGACATCCATCTCCTGGGGCTCCGTGTGCAGCAGCAGCAACGTGACGTCGTAGAAGAGGCCGTGGGTGGCCAGGCTGTCCCCATCCTGCAGCACACTGGGGCAGTTGCTGAAGTTCTGCTGCAGGGCCAGGCGCTGCTGGTAGCGGGGGATGCCCCACTCCTTCTCTATCTCCCCTTTCAGCTCCCAGACTTGGGTGCTGGGTCTGACTTTCCTGCTCAGGCTGATGCCCTGCAACTGCTTCACTTGCACCGTCACAGATCGGGCAGGCTGTGGGGACACACGGCAGGTGGGTTATAGCCATAGGGGAACAGGTGGGACCACAGTGCTGCCGTGTGAGCAGCCCTACCTGCACATCCCAGGAGCGGGTAGCACTGACGCAGGGCAGCGAATGACGGCTCCGGGCAGCTTCCGTGGCCACCAAGTCCCAGCTCTTGTCTTGGCCCAGGATGCCAGTGGGGTCAGCAGGATCCAGGATGACAGGGCTGTAGGCACAGAGAGGGTCCTGCCATCAGGGCACAGCCCCTGGAGCACAGCAGTAGGATGGGGACACGCTCCTTACCGGGGCTGGCACAGCTGCTTCTTCAGGTAGGCACCGATCCTTTCATCCTGCAGGGAATAGTACTTCTCCCAGTAAATACAGATGTCCTGGTACCGGCCAAGCAGCTCCAGCACAGTGCAGAAGCCCTCTGCCATGCTGAAGTCCTCCCTGCCTGTGCCCTCCTCCCAGGCATAGATGGTCAGCAGCTCCAGCGCATACTTGGGGGGCAGCTTAGCGTTGGGGTACTGCGGCTTCAGCACCTGGGGGCACACGAGTGGGCAGCTGGTGGGGCTCTGAGGTGCCTGTGGGGGCACAGAGCAGCCAAGTAACCCCACTCACTTGCTTGTACCAGTGCTTGACCAGGCGCACCAGGTCCTTCAGCTTAGCAGGGCGCCACTTCACAAAGTTCTTCTGCAGTTCTGTGAAGCTGGGGGAGAAATCGCCGGGGCCACAGCGCGTGGCCAACAGCTTCACATAGACCTCGGGGTCTGGGCGGGCATCCTCAATCACCTGCCCTATAAAGGTGAGAGGCACCTTGAGCCCCGTCCTGCATCCCACAGCCCAACAGATGGCCCCCACCCTGAGCCCCCATCCCACCCCGTGCCCCATCCTACCCAGCACATCGTAGGCAGGCAGGATGTCGACGTCGATGGACTCGCCGGAGGTGTAGGAGGAGAGGGTGAGGCTGAGCGAGCGCGGTCTGTCCCGGCTGTCCTTGTAGCACGGAGTGCTGATTCTGACACTGGACGACGCCGGGGGACACATGTAGAGCCGCCTCTCGATGATGGCGAGGATGCGGCCCCGCTGCTCCTCCTGCTCCTGGTAGCTGGAGAAGCAGTTGACGAAGAGCACCACATCGGCATCCGAGTTGTTGCGCAGCGCCGTGCCCTTCCCCGCCGAGCCGCCCTGCGGGGACACGGCACGGCTCAGCCCCCGGCCCCCGGCCCCCACCCCAGGCGCAGGGCGGCGGGGGGCTGCGGGCACCTTGACGGTCTTGAGTACGCGGATGCCCTCGAAGCAGCGCTCCTTGAGGAAGTCGCAGATGTCCTTCACCGTCTGCCTCACCGCCGTGCTGAATTCCGGGCTGGGCTGCAGATGGGCGGCCACCCAGCCCTCCAGCTGGCGCTGGCTCACGCTCTCCAGCCCCATCGCCAACCTCACACCCAGCTCCATCCCGCTCACTGCGCCCCGACGCCGCCCGCCGCAGCTTTAAACCCCGAGGTCTCCGCCCCCAGCCGGGTGGTCCCGCCCCTCGGCCACCCCCCTTTCTCGCCCTCCCCCCGCCGTTCCCCCGGGGCACCCCTGGGAGCTCCTCGCGCTGCCGCCGCTTTGGGGACCATGGTCCCCATCTCCCGGGACCCCGGGATGCGGTCACCCCGCAGCCGGCACGGGGCGCCGAACGTGTCCCCGCAGCTGGGAACGCAGGGACGGTGACTCGGCGGCCACCCTTTCGGTTTCGGTTCTGGCGACGGTTTCGGTTCTGCGTCAGTTTCGGTTCTGATACCAGGAGCGGCCGCTGGAAACGAAAGTGCGGGGAATGGGCGGGGAAAAGCAACAGCGACGGGTGGGGGGGTGCGGGAAGGGGATAGGGATGGGGAAAGGGATGGGGACGGGGATGGAGAAAGGGATGGGGACAGAGATGGAGACAGAAGTGAAACAGAGATGGAGACAAAAGCGTAACAGGGTAGGGATAGGGATGGGGACAAAAATGGGGACAGGGATGGAGACAACAATGGGATGGGAACGTGAATGAAAATGAAACAGATGGAGACAGAATAGGAATTGAGATGGAAACAGAAATGGGATAGAGACAGGAATGGGGACAGAAGTGGAATGGTTGGGGACAGAGCTGAGAAATAGGTGTATAGGGATGGGGCACAAATGGAGCTGGGGATGGAACAGGGGTGGGATGGAGCTGGGGACACAGCTAGACATCGGGATGGATACATGGGTGGACAGGGATGGGGCAGGGATGAAGCACTGTGGGATGGGGACAGAAGTGGGACAGGAATAGCATGGAGCTGAGCACAGAGCATGGACAGGAATGGGGACAGAGACAGAACGGGGCAGTGCCACAGCTGGGGGTAAGTGTGGGTACAGCAGGGATGGGGCAGGGATGAGTCATTGAAGGGGACAGGGATGGAGTTAGAGATGGGACGAGGATGGGGACAGGAAGGAGGAGTTGGCAGGAGGACTCATGCCATCAAGACAGAGCTGCCTTGTGCCCAGCTCAGAACATTGTCTACCAACAGCATATATGTACAGTGGAGTATTTAATGCCTGGGGCTGCCCCACTGGGGGCTGCTCCCTTGTTTTTATTTTTTTAACCAAAAATAGGGTAACAGGAGAGGCAGAGGCTGCCGTCGCGCTCTGTGCCATGCCAGCTGTCTGCTATGGCCCCTGGCTGCCCAAACGTGGCACAGTCCACGGGGCCGACCTCGGTGCTCTGTGCCTCCCAGGGCCATCCTGGCACCGCCGTGCGCTGGGGGAGCAGCGGCAGGCACTTGGGAACGTGGTTGTGTTGGCGACTTCCTAAGCCTCAACGGCAGGAGGTAATGATACAGTGATGGGAGGGTGCCTCCTGCTGGGGCAGGTGCCCATCCTCGCAGCCCTTCCCTTTCTTCAGCAGCGTGGCGAGGCCAGGGTTGCCCCCGTGCGTCCCGGGGATGGGGCGATCCGTGTGGGGCTGCTCCGTGGGGCGGCTCAGCGGCGCTGGGCGCTGGCATTGAGGTGAGCCCAGAGCTGCCCGCTGGCCGCCCGCAGCTGGCGCATGGCGTCCTCCTGGCTCTCCAGCCACTGGGCCAGCGCCTGCACCGACTGGCTCTGCAGCACTGTGGGGAGCATGGGGCATGGCGGGGACCGGCTGTCGGCTGTCCTCAGACATTGCCACCTCCCACCACCCAACCCACAGCCACGTACCGCTCAGGTAGATGGCCAGCGTGGCCAGGACCAGGCTGGCCAGCGCCAGGAAGCCCAGCAGAGCGAGGAAGAAGGAGTGCCCGGGGCAGGGGCACGTGGTTGGAGGCGGCACGGGGCGCAGCGTGGGCAGGTGCGGGGGACCGCGGGGCGCTCGGTGCAGCCGGGCACTGGATGGAGTCGGGCCATTCCCTGCAGCAGCAGGGATAAGGGGGTCAGCGCCTGCCCTCAGCCCCCTGTTCCGCAGCCCCTCGCCCTGTTCTTGTCACCTTCTGTGCCCTTGTGCCCAGCGGAGGCCCAGTGCAGGTCACTGATGGACGCCACGGGGTGCAGGCTGATGGCTCCGGGGTCCATTCCATCGGAGTCAGCGGGCTCTGCTGGCACGGTGCCCTCTGCCCTTCCCACACCATCTGCAGGGAGCAAGGAAAGGGGTGAGTGCATCTCAGGTACTCCTGAGGTGACCGGAGGCCCCCGGCTACAATGACCACTCCCAGGAGCAATGCCAGCCCTGGTGCCAACCCAGTGCACAGGACTGCTGCTTGCAGAGTGGGGCCAGACCAGCGCTGGCCATCCCCCAGCCGCCGCGCGCTGTCATCGAAGCAGTTAGCAGGAGCCTTGTGGCTGCACTCCCAGAGCCTCGTTAGTGCAGCTGGCAGTCACGCAGGGTGGGAAAGTGCTCCTGTCCCAGAGTATCTGGGGCCACCTTGAGCCTGTGGATTCAAGCAGCCCCTGGCTGTCACCTGGGTTGGCAGTACCCATGGCACTGTGCTGCAGAGCTCGGGGCTGCACAGAGGGAGGAGAGGGTCCCATGCTGGTCCAGTGCCCTGTGCTGCAGTGATATATGCCCAGAGGATGGGGAGAGCAGCATGCAGGGCTCCAGCTCACTCAGCACTGTTTCAGGAAGCAATTGGGGCAGAGCGAGGGGACTTTTTCATGGCGTTTGCACGGTGGTGAGCAGTGGGCAGGGCTGATGGCCTTGTGCCCCCACCCAGGGTCAGGGCTGGTGCTGTGCTGGGGCCACAGGGCTCCAAGGGGCTGGTGTGCACCAGGTCAGCGCCCTTTGGGGCTGGGGGCTCCCAGGCCCCCCAAAGCACCCTGCAGGCACTGTGGGTCAAACTCCTCACTGCAGGCTGCCCCCACAGCCTGCCCCTCTGCAGCCTGCGGTGCTGTGCCAGCCGCTGTCCCCTCCGTCCCGCAGCGCTCTGCACCCCTTCCCTCCCTGGGCTGGCATCCCTGTAGGGTGGGCAGCGTTTAGCCATAGCCACTGAACAGCCCCAGTGGCACAGCTGCCCCGGGTGCCAGGGACCCACACCCCTCACTGCTGCCTACCTTCTGCAGCCTCCCTGGGCATGTCCCCGGCCCCGCTCCCCTGGGCAGCCAGGCAATCTGGGGCCCCCGGGAACCGGGCGCTGGGCTCCTAGTGCGCCAACTGCTCAGCTTAAAATAGGACAGGATGAAATGTGTTTGGGGGGATAAAAATAGCCGTGGGAGGGGGGCCCAGCAGCCGCAGGGAGCATGGTGCCAGCGTGGCGGAGGGAGGGCAGAGCTCAGGGCCCTTCATGCACCTTTCCCTGGGCACGAGGCACAGCTGAGATAGGGAAACCGAAACACGGGTCTGTTCCCTCCTAAGCCATACCAGGGGTTCCTTGTGTATTATCTGACCTCGAGGCTCCCCTCAGTTTTGCCCGTGAGGACCATGTAGCTGCAGCAGGATGGTTTATTTAAATTAATGAGCACGGGACAAACCGGTGCTGGCACAGCAGCCCCCAGCTCTGCTCACCAGCCCCAGCTGCTGCGCCGTGGGCAGGTGTCAGGGGTCTGGGGGCCATGGTGGCCGTAGAGGCCATGGGTGAGCGTGGGGCAGGCGGCAGGGCTCTGCGGCTCCGGCTGCACGCAGTCCTGGCCAGCCCAGCCGTTGTAGCAGTGGCAGCGGAACGGTGCCCAGGAGCCCACACCCAGGTGCAGCAGGATGCTCAGCTCCTGGGGCTGCCGCCGCACACAGCGCCCATGCCCGTGGCACTGCTCCAAGCTGCACGCCCGCGCGGCTGCTGTCACGTTGGCCACATACGGCCCCAGGGTGGACACGAGGTAGTGGCGAAGGCTGCTGCAGCTCTCCTAGGGGGGAGGCAGCCATGAGGAGCGGCCCCACGGGGCACCCCGAGGCACCTCCTGAGCCTGTCAGCGTTCGGCTCTGGTGGGGTAGCGTTGGCCACACTCACAGCTGACTGGGAGTACGACATGTCACCCCACAGCACCACTCCGGCCGTCCCCAGTGCCGCGCTCTCCCCGATGGTGTGCTCCAGGTCAGCCTGCAAGGACAGGGGGCCGTGTGGCCGGGTGGACAGGCCAGGACACCGAGCACCACCCCCCGGCCTTACCGGCTCCAGGAAGCGGGGCGAGCGGCGGTAGGAGAGCCGTGAGTAGGCCACGACGGGCAGGCGGCCGGCGGCCAGGCGCAGAGCCTCGCTCAGCCGGTGGTGCACGTAGCGACGGCGCAGGCCGGGCGGCAGCAGCGGCGGCAGGTAGATGCTGGGGTACAGCGCGGCCGAGGCGGCCCACAGCCAGTGCAGGCGGTCGTTGCGCCGCACTTCGGCCGGCCGGCAGCGCCCCGTGTAGTTGGCCACCTTGGCCCAGTTGCCGTTGAAGCAGTCGGGGAAGCGGTAGAAGCCCCAGAGTCCCGCCGGGCGCAGGCTGCGACCCAGCAGCAGCGTCTGCTCCATCAGCGCCCGCGCTGCCCGCTCGAAGGCCCGCCGGGCCTGCCGCCGCCCCCCGCCCCGCTTCTGCGCCCATCGCTGCGAGGCCAGCTGGTAGACGCGCTTTGGACCCCAGTTGCGGGCCCACAGCGGCCGCCACTCCTCCCAGTCCACCACAGCCAGGCCGCTGAACGTGGGGCGCAGGTGCAGCTGCACGTCGCCCGCAACCCGCGCCAGGTGGGCCCGGAGCGGTGCCTGCTGTGGGATGCCCCCGTTGTGCGGGACACCCTGCGGGGAGATGTAGGGGTACAGCCCAAACTTGTTCTTGTAGAAGATGGTGATGTTCTGCCCTGCAAAGCGGCCGCCCTGGTTCTCCACGATGCCGTAGTCGGCCAGGGGCAGCCCCACGCCAAAGCGGCGCTGGCAGCGGCCGCTGGGGATGTTCCAAAGCACGGCGAAGGGCTGCCCGCCTGCCAGGGCTGTGGGCACAGGGCTCTCCCCGCCGGCGGTCCCCAGCACCAGCCAGGCCCACAGCGCCAGCACCGGCCCCATGCCCAGGGGCACTGCCTGTGGGGAGAGAGCAGCAGGTGGGTACCCAAAATCTCAGAGCCCAGAGCTGCGTCCTGCCCGGCGCCTCAGTGACCTTCCTGGCTCCCAGCCCGGTTCCGAGCAGGGGCACTTTGTCCCCGTTTGGTGGCTAGGTTGAGCCCCCAGCCCGTCACGCATGGGTAAGGGGAGGAGGGCTGCATGCTGCTGCCCTGTGCCTGCCGCCAGCTGGGGATTAGGTGGCTGCATGACACAGCAAAGACAGCACTGATCCCAGCTCAAGGGGAGACGCTTCCCTGACCTTCCCACTCCCATTCTGGGGCCTCTCACAGCAGCAGCCAGGTTTGTGCCTGAGGCATGGCCACCCTTTCCCTTGTCCCCATTCTCCTCAACCCCAGGTCTGGTTGTCGGAGCTGGCCCAGAAGAACAGCACCAGGCACTCTGCCCGCGCTCGCTTTTAATCACCAGCTGTGCCCAGAGGCCTCAGATATCCTTCTTCATCCAGAAGATGGGCAGCCCCCTGGTATCACGGTGGGGGCTCTCCTGCGGGTTCTGCCCACCGTCCTCAGCTGGGCCTCCCCCTGCTCGGGATGAGGGTGGCAGAGGGGGTGGGGGGGGGATGGTGGGAGGTGGCAAGGGGGGCTGGGAGGCTGCAGGCACCACTGGGGTGGCAGCGGTGGGGCTGGGAGGTACAGCGAAGGCCCGCAGCGCCGCAGCAGGCATGGCAGGGCTGAGGAAGGGCACGATCTGCACCGGCTCAGCCGGGACGAAGCCCAGGTGGGCATAGAACTGCTGCTTGTCATGAGTGCTGAGGTGCAGGCAGCGGAAGCCACGGGTCCGGGCGTAACGCTCGGTGGCCTCCATCAGCTGCCGCCCGTAGCCTCTGCCCCGCAGTGCCCGTGCCACCACCACGCTCTCCACAAAGAGGCCATTAGGCTGCCCAGCCACGCGCGACAGCCGGACGTGTCCCACCAGGCAACGGGGGCAGGTGGGCTCAGCAGGGGCTGGCGCCCGCAGCAGTGCCAGGCAGGTGGGGAAGGCATCAGAGGAGCGCTGCAGAGCATGCAGCCGCAGCGCCCGGCTCTTGCCCCACTCCTCAGCCAGCAGCTCGGCACAGGCCTCCAGCAGCTCGGGGTGCTGATGCAGGGGCACCAGGCTGAGCTCCTCCGGCACGGGGCTCATTCTTCTCACTGCAGGGAGAGCGAGAAGTAATAGCTCAGCACCTGTGCTGCGATGTCACTACCATCACTCCAACGGGCACAGCACAGTAGCAGCTTCCTGGCCAGCAAAGTGACAGCCGTGCCGTGCCGTGCCATGTGGCGCCGTCCCCTCCTTAGGCACTCGTTAAGCCCCACCTCCCACCGTTGCCGCTCGAAGGCGAAGCCGCACTCAAAGAGGAACCCCGCTGCCAACGGCCCGTGGGTTGAGCAACCCGCCCCGCACTCCCCGCTCTCCTCTCCGCTGCCCCGCGGCCGGTCCAGCTCGCACCGCGCGGCTCCGCACGGCACCACCGCCGCCACCCCCCGGCGCCGCCCCGCGCTCCACCGCCCACCCGGCGCGGCCCGGCCCCGTCGCTCACCCTCTCCCGCTCCGTCCCGCGCGGGTCCGGTCCGCGCCCCGCCTATCGCTCCGCCCCGCGCACCGAGCGCACCTTCCCGCACACACAGCGCCCCCTGGTGGACGGAGGGCGCGCGTAAAAAGTTCCCATCTAGTTCTGAGGAAGGGGCCGGGGAGAAGGATCAGGGTTAGGGTGAGATTTAGGGTCAGGGTTAGGGTAAGATTTAGGGTCAGGGTTAGGGTGAGATTTAGGGTCAGGGTTAGGGTGAGATTTAGGGTCAGGGTTAGGGTGAGATTTTGGGTCAGGGTTAGGGCGAGATTTAGGGTCAGGGTTAGGGTAAGATTTAGGGTCAGGGTTAGGGTGAGATTTAGGGTCAGGGTTAGGGTGAGATTTTGGGTCAGGGTTAGGGTGAGATTTAGGATCAGGGTTAGGGTGAGATTTAGGATCAGGGTTAGGGTAAGATTTAGGGTCAGGGTTAGGGTGAGATTTAGGGTGAGTTTTAGTGTTAGGGTTGGGTTGGGGGCTAGGGTTAGAGTGGGCAGTGTGGAATGCATGCTCCTAGCAGCACGGGGAGCCCAAGGCACCATTCCCAATTCCAGTTTTCCTTCTCTTGTGTTGCAGCCATCTTCACAGTGCTTTTAATCACACAAACCTCAAAAGGGGTTTCAGTTTTCCAGCCTGCCCTTGTGTGGTATGCAGTGTGCTGCCATCATAGCCCACAAGGGCAATGGTGAAGGGCCATGGGGACAGCAGCAGAGCAGAGGGGAGGATGAGCAGGGTGAGCTCATGGAAATGGCCGTCCCCCATCCACTTCCAAGCCGTTCTGTGCATCTTTCCACCAAAGGCAAAGTTCATCCCAGCCCCAGCTCCGCGGGCAGCACTCACGACAGATATGGGCCAGGTGGCTTTGGTGCCACATCATGACTTCAGCAAACAGTCACAGAATAATCCTACCATCCCTCAGAGGGCTGGTTTTAGCTAAAAAATAAAAATAAAAATAAAGCAACTTGCTTATTTATTTATTTATTTTATTTTATTTTGTGTGTGCGTGTGTGATAAGCAAAGGAATAACTCCTGTCTGAGCTTTTTCTCCACGGAGCAGGATTGCTCAGGGGCTGAAGCAATGGGGAGCTCTCAGCTGGAGCTGAGGGTCCAGGCAGGGAGTTCTCCTTCCCTTTCCTCCCTGGCCGTAGCAGAGAAGCACAGTTTTTATGTATGACACAGCCGTGGTGCTGTTCAAAGAAGACACAAAGGGAGTTGTGTGCCTGTTGGCGCCTCTCTTTCCTGAAGATGGCCAGCCCGAGGGTGGGAATCACTTGGCTTTGGGAGCACTGGGACATGTTCCCACCGCACTGCAAATGAAAACGACAAAGATGCGAAGGATAAATTAATGTATTAAAAGGTCTACCATTCAATTCCGCAAGTCGTATGAGGGGTGGCTGAGGGAACTGGGAATCTTAAGCCTGGAGAACAGGTGGCTCAGAGGAACCGTCATTGTTCACTGCCAGGGGAGAAGCCCACCCCTCTCCTGCAGGAGCTCAGCAACACCAGGCCCTGCCCTCCATGGGGATGTGACCCCCTCGGGTTGGTGTCCTTCTGCCTGCTTTGACACCAGGGCACACCGCAGTGGTTCCTGCCGAGGGAGTGCCTCGAAGGCCTGGACCTTTGTTGCCTGTGAGCGTCCACCACAGCGCCATGGAGAAGGTGGGAACACACTGGGGGTGGAGGGGTGGGGGTGGCCTCATGTGGCTCCTGGGCTGTGATCTCTGGCATGGGGAGCATCGCCAGCAGGCAGAGGGAGGCCATCCTTCCTGCCTGCTGCATGGCCAGCACCAGGCTGGCACTGGCTGCAAGGCCTGGGTTCCCTCAGCCCCTGTGAGATGTGATGGCATCACAGAGGGTGGCACAGAACGGCCACTGTGACCCAGGGGGTGCAGAACAGAGCCAAGGCTGCGGGGCTCAGGCGGAGCTCAGTGCGACCTGGTGAGGTGAGCAGGGAGGAAGGGGCTGCCTGAGGCTGCCCAGGGAGGAGGGTTCCCCAGCGCTCGGGGCCGGAGCTGAGAACTCAGCCTCGTCCCGCTTCTCCCCTAGGTTGTCACGCGGAGGAGAAAGCCTGGTTTTGCTGGGACAGACACTCTGCGAGTGCTCGCCGTTTGTGCACACGATGTCCGAGGAGACGCAGGAGGCTGCTGGCTCAGCAGAGCCAGGTGAGAGCAACGTACACTGCTGGGCCTGCAGTGCCCCTTCCTCTCCTCAGCCACCAGCCCTGCCCCTCAGCTGGCACGGCCGGCACACAGCAGCCCCTGGGACAGCCCCCAGGGCACCTGGCCGTGCAAGCCATTCACTGCTGTTCCTCTCTCCTCTCCAGCATGCGTGCTCTGTGGTCAGGCAGATGCTCAACCAGACATCTATGGGCGCCAAATTGTGGTGGATGGGATATATTTCCATGCATTTTGCTGGGTGAGTTTCCTCGTGGCTCCTTCCACCATCCTCCAAACGATGCCTCCTTTCTGCCATAACAAGGTCATGTTCTTCTGCCATACAGATATTTTCCAACATCCACAAAAAAGATGATGATGCGAATAACTGCAGTCAACACCTCATACGCACAGTGAGACAGGCAGAGCAGATGGTGAGCACCGGACAGGAACAAGGAGCTTGGTGCCAGGAGGGGCATGGAGAGCTTAGCCTGGTCCAGGGAAAGCAATCCCAGCCCTTCCAGCCAGCCCCAAGAGAAATCCCTGCTCTTGCAGACCAGCCCTGTTCAGCAGGCAGCTCTGCAGAGTGCCAGCCAGCCCTGCCCCCATCCCGTGCCCTGCACAGAGCTGCGGGGCCCGCTGCGTAGGCCCTGAGCCTGCAGCTGATGAGAAATGCTCTGGTCTTTACAGCTCTGCTTCATCTGTGGCAAGAGGGGGGCCACCATCAACTGTGCAGAGATGGGCTGTGACCGCAGCTTCCATCTCCCCTGCGCCTCAGAGGGTGAATGCATCACCCAGTACTTTGAAGAGTACAGGTAAGGGCTGCCAGGCATCGCCTGCGAGCCTCCAAGCCCTGCTTCAGCACCAGCCAAAGACACCTCACCATGACAACTCCCAGCAGCCTGACAGAGCCAGAGCCAAGGCCTGGGGCTCCTTTCTGTTCCTCTGCCCTCCTCGCAGCACTTCTCACCTTGCCCATCCCTCCCATCTATCTTCCCACAGGTCCTTCTGCAGGGAGCACATCCCACGGCATGCAGTGGAGGCAACACCAATGCAGGACACAACCTGCATCATCTGCATGGAGCCCGTGGGGGACAGCAGGTCTTACAGCACCATGGTGTGCCCAGCCTGCCGACATGCCTGGTTCCACCGGGCCTGCATCCAGGTAGGCGCCCTCCCCTTGCCCAGCAGGCACAGCAGGTACTCAGCAGCACCAGACCCAGCTCACGCTCACACTGCTTATATTTCTGTTGCAGGGAATGGCCCTGAACACTGGGCTTCACTGCTTCCAGTGTCCTCTGTGCAGAGACTCAGACCTGTTTCTGATAGACATGCTCACCATGGGGATCCGAATCCCAAATAGGTTTGTATACTTGAGCTTGCTCTCAAGATGCGAGTACACAAGAGCTGTGCCTGCCCAGGGATGGCCCCAGCAGGCCTGGCTCTTTGCTGCCTGTGAGCATTGGCCTCAGCTTCACAGAGAAACTGGACACATGGTTGGGGTGGAAAAGCAGGGATGGCCAGGGTCATCCTTTACTCCAGGGGGAGTGGGTGCTCATCACATTCCCTCCCTTCACTAACAGACAACCAGCGTGGGAGGACAGCGATGCCTACATGTCTCTTGGAGTCAGGCACCGGCGCTGTGATGCCAGTGACTGCCGTTACCCCGGTGGCAGGGAGCAGGCAGAGAGAGTCGGGTGAGTTCCCTCAGCAGCCCTCTGGGGCTCGGCGTGGGATCGCAGCCTCACCACAGGCTGGGAGAGAGCACAAACTGAGCACCAGAGCTGTGCCGGCGCTCCCTGGCTCAGCTCACTTTGTCCTCACGGCCACAACCCGTTTGTTTCCCCAGGCCCTGGCAGCTGCTCCTCTGCAGCTCCTGTGCCGCACAAGGCACTCACCGGTGCTGCTCCAACTTGAGCGACAGCACAACCAGCTGGGAGTGCAACGCCTGTGCTGGAGAGGGCACCGGTAAGAGGCAAACGTGTGTGGCTGGGCTGGGGCCAGGCGAGGTTTTGCTCAAATCCCTTTCACCCATGAGGAATGGGACCCTGTCCCACTGCAGGGCTGGAGATGTGTCCCGCTCACCTTCCTGTCTCCCCTTACAGCTTCCAGCACCAATTTGGACACTGCTGGCCCCAACACCATCAGCCAGCAGGGACTGGGGCCATCCCAAGGCCCCATAGGACAGGACAACAGCAGCTCTGGCACCACCAACCAACCAGATCACAATTCCCAGGTGCCTGAGCTGCTCTCCAGGCAGACACAGCGGGCCCGGACTCGAAGCCGCTCGCCTCTGGAACATCGGGCTGCAGATAACAACAGCCAGCCCCAAAGACGCCGCAGGAGCCGGTCCAGGCGGCGACGGCCAGCCCGGGGGCGAAGCCGCTCCCGGGTTCCACGTCGGGCCCAGAACATCAACCGCCGGCCCCACTGATGTTGAGGGAGCTGCTGCATGCAAGCTCCAATTGCTATCCAAAGTCATCCATAGTCCATCACAATAAAACAGAATTCCATCATGCCACTGTCAGTTTGGTTCTTCTCTGCCTTTCCCGACTCAAGGCAGCCACGTCCTGCACAGCCATCCTGGATCCAACGTCAGAACGCGATTCCCCACCGCCGGCCCCAGTGACGGGAGCAGCCGCGCACAAGCCCCCCGTGCTGCCCCCGGGCCCCAGCGGCCATCACAACGAAGCTGGGGCATCCCACGCGCCTTTCCCGGTTTCGCTCTTCTCTGCCTTTCCCAAGGCAGGCGGCGTTACGGGCTGGGACCACGGGGTCGCCTTCCCTACTGGGCTTGGCGGCACCTTGCCCAGACCGCGGCCAAGACAGCTCTCTAGCGCCTGATAGCCGGACTGCCATCATCTAACCAAATACTCGAAACATCATTGACCTTTCATTAGTAACCTTCGGCAGCTCCTATCACACGGCAAACCCCCCGCCGTCCCCGAGGCGAACCAGCCCCGCCGGCTGCCGAGTCAGTCCCGCCCTGCGAGGGGCGGGCAGGCGGCGTGACGCGGCTGGCGTGGGGCGAGCGTGCGGCGGCGATGAGCATGGGGTGAGCGGGGCTGGGGGCCGCGGGGGTTGCGGGGGGCGGCGCGGGGCCTGCGGGCGGCGCGGAGCTGCGCGGAGCGCTCGGGAGGACGGGGCGCGGGGCTCCGCGGAGCGCTGCTCCATCCTCTCGGGCTGCGTGCCGCGTTCGGTTCGTTCCTGCCGCGTGTGTAGCTGAAATGAGGCTTGGGGAGGGTTTGGGGGGAGAGAAAGGGGGAGAAAAAAAAAGCAAATCGGCTTCCCATCTTCGGCCTGCGGGATTGGGTGTGTTGGAGGAAGGAAAGAGGAAGATTCTGGGAGGTCTGTGTTTTCCCGTACGGACGAGCTTTTAAGAAGCAGGAAGATCACCGAGCAAACCAAACCAGCCCTTCGCTTTTGGGGATTTGTTAGAGGGATCCGCGTTTTTGAATGACAAAACACGGGAAGCGGAGCTGAGGTGCCGTAATGGGATTTTTTGCCCGCCTTGCATTGCCTGAAAAGAGAGTCGTTGTTGGTTCGCCTTGAGAAAATGGGCGGGTGGGACTCGATCGAGCTGCTGCTTTCTTTCAGTTGCCTCGCGGCTTTGCAGTACCGGTGCGTTGTGCAAAGCGCACCGAGCTCAGCACCGAGCCTCTCCTCGGTTATGCCGCTTTCATTAAAAACAAAAATAGTTCCACATTCGCAGTAATACTGCTTTTGGAAAACCACCCTGAGGATGATTGCAGAGGGAAACCGCATCCCCCGTGACTCATGGCGTTGGGTTCCATGAGCGAAGGGGTTTCCACATCAGGAATGGAGCCCGGGAGCGCTTCCTGTGCCCTTCCCGCAGTCACTGGAAGCTTTCCCGTCTGTTTCACACCGCCCAGTGTGTCTTCTTACGTAAGAAGCGAGCTGTGTCCCTGCGGAGTTGTCTCCGGTTCCTGCCGGTGAGGTGCGCTCCACCCTGCAGCTCCGTGCCGGGTTCTCTTAAACACAAGTTTCTTCCCAGCGACGGGGTTTGTTTAATGCTTCGCTGTGCAGAAGGGCTGATGTCAGCCGAGACGTCCCTTTGTGTCCCCAGCGGGATGGGCACGGCTCACTCCTTCGGCGGTTTAAGCAGGAGGGGAGATGACAGGAAGCAGCTTGGGCATCCTGTGCAAATACCAGCTTGGACACTGCCCTTCAGAGGAGGGGGGAGGGGGAAGGATTGTTTCCACACGATACCGCCTTAAGGCTCAGAAAGCATTCAGTTCCTCATTTTTGCACCGCCTCTGTTCCTACTCAAGTTACTGCTCCGGCTATCGCTCATAGATCGCTCATAGATCGGGCTTTATCGGCGCCTTCCAGCTCTGGGAGGGTTTGGCACAGCCGCACGGGCTCCTCATCGGGCCGGGAGGACCTGCGGCAGCGATGCTCTGATCCTGCGGCAGTGTGCGAGGGCCGGGCTGTGTCGGCCGGCAGCGCAGCCTTCCCGTGTCCTGTCCAGCTGGGAGTTCTCATCCGCTCGTGCTCTTGCTCTTTTTGCAGTGCTTATTCGGAGGTCTTTGGGAAACTCTGGTGAAGCATCAGTTGTCAGTAGGTTTCTTTTCATTGCTGTCCGTCGGTGTTTAATGCTGAGCTCCAGGTAGCGCTGAGGCAGGAGGGCACGGCGCTCTGGCAGCCCGGTGCGGTCCCAAACACAAGCGTGTAACATCCTGCAGTCACCTTGTGGTTGTTTATTGAGGCAATAAATAGCATTCCTTGGCAGTGCCGTAATGACATACTTTCAAGTGCTTGGAAGCACTGTGCTTCCCACAGGACTGCACTTAAAAGCAAATTAAGCATTTTGTACAGACAAGTCAGCGTTAACTTGGATTCGTATGCTTTCTGTCGCTGGTTAATTCTTAAAGATTATTTGAAGCTGTTAGGTCAAAGTGCAGTCATTAAATTTGTTCAATCTGCCACTTGTTCCACACACACACAATGCCCACATGCCATCTTTACAACCCCCACTGTTAGTGAATACACTGAAGGTGTTTCACTTTCTATTCCTTTCCAACTGGATTAGCACAGTGTTTGGGTTGGTAACGAGGCTGGGTGTTTCAGAACATCTCTGTCAGAGTCACAGAGGCAAATATTGTAGTTGGCACAGCTGATAATCAGTCATTCTAAACCAAAACACAAACGAGATTACCGTTGTGCGCAGTTAATTGGATTCTGTTCCTAAATGAATTACTGCCTTGAAATTACAGCTGATGGTGTAACGGATACAGTGATGCCTGAGGAAAGGCTGTGCATCCTTCTGCGATGAGAAAAGGGAGCAGCAGCCTTCTGGGAAGCCTCGGTCAGCAGGGACAGGACACTGGGACATTCTCATGGACTTGTGCTTGCTCCTGATCTGGGTGCTGCCTTGCAACGTGGTTCTTCTCTGGAACTGAGAAAATCCACGTTCTTCTGCCCACCCTTGTTTGAAATGACAGCCTGCTAAGCATCCCAGAAACTCAGCAGTTCTAACTGTGGAAGATGCAATTATGCTAATTTGCTGTCTCTCAATTTAGATGTTTTTAACCATATGCATCCTCTGTAGGCATGGTAAAAAAATACAGCAACGCTGTGCTGTACTGTTTTTCTCCTCCCTGCAGAGCCCTTTCCATATGGCTTGCATTCAGACACAGCTTATCTCAGCAAGAGACTGTCAGAGCAAACACAGGTGGAGGAGCCCTCAGACAGGGAGGGGTTCTGCAGCTCCAGACCAGAGGAAGGCTAAGAAGCAGTTCCTTGTATGGGCTCATTAATGTATCTCATGTAGACTTTGCTCCAGTCCCAACAGTGTGCTTCCATCTTTTGTAACGGGGATGACATGATTCATGTGTCCATTCCCCACCAGAGCTGCGTTCTGTGGTTAGGGAAGCCAGTTTGAACTTCCTCTGATGGCGGTTTCAGGGTGTTTGGCAAGTCAAACATCAAGCTGCAATGCGTTTATGGTCTGTAGGAGCAGGAATTTCATACAGCTTGTGGGCACTTTGGTGCTGAAGGTCGGTGGGTTTGCCTGCAGCAGTGTTGACCCTGCTGGAACACAGTTCTCATGGCACTTCAGCCAGCAGACCTGGGCAAAAATGCATTCATGGCAGCAGCTCATGCTACAGTGACTTCCTTTACAACAGGGCTTACAAAATGTGGCAATTTTAGGGATTCGAGTGACTGAAAAGTTCTAAAAATGTTACTGGAGTTGAACCTCGAATATTTCCTCAGGCCTTAAATGCGTTCAGAGCATTTCACGCTTCCTTCTGGTTCACGTGTATGGTTGAGGCCTCCAATATGGAAGGGCTGCCTTGAGAATCATCTGCGAACCTTTTGGATCCGGGGTTTGGTGGTTCCTTTTTAAGCTGTCACTCGTGTCTCATTCAGTACCCAAAGGGGGGAATCAGGCGCTCATCACCTCTCTCCCTTCATGTAAACTCATGTGTGATTATCAGTGTACCTTAAAGGTAAGATGAGTCTGCAGGGTGTGCTGAGGACATGATGACTTAGAGCTTTCCAAATGCAGGAGAAGAGGAGTAGAAGGGGAGCGAGGTGACAGGACAAGGGAGTCCTCTCTTCATATTTAATTTCTATGGATCCTATGGGAACTCGCAGTTTGTGCTGCGGCGATAAAACTGCTGGCAGGCTTGTCTTTTGTCTTCAGTTAAATTCTTGGCTAAAGTTAGCTTTTATTATGTGAGGAGAGAGAAGCAGGAAATGGCAGTGAATAAGCTCAAGCTGTTTGTAAGCATGTGGTTTATGCAGAGATGATGGTATATCATGCAGGACTGAAAACTTGCCTTCAGAGCGGGACACCAGCAGAGCACTCTGCTTCCATTCCTGCACTGCAACATCTGTGTGCAGGATCCATGGGGTAAGGTGAATTCGTGGTTTGGCTGTTGTTTGGTTTGGGTTTTTTGTTTGTTGAACCACCCAGGAGGTGTCTTTAAGCTGCAGTCCTTTGTTCGTTTTCATGTACGAGGCAGGAGAGCAGTTACTTAGCATGAATGGTTTGTTTTTCTAATACTTTCAGAGACCTTTCAGAAGAGTTCATGAGTTGAAAGCAAACAAAGCAGTGGTTTCTTAGCAGAGAGGGGTACAGACTTTCTGGAGCTAGCACACAGCAAGAGGCTTTGTACAGTGTGTGGAGTATCCCATCTCCTAGAGCTCAAACAGAGCTGTTTGGGCCTCTCTTGGGTTCCACCTTCTATCTTCTTCTGAAGCCTTCCTGTGCTTTGTTCAGTAGTTTTACCCGTGGGAGCCCCGTGGGTCTGTAATCATTACGTACTCTGCATGGTGACATTGCCAGCAGATGTGTGCTGGGAGATGCTCAGGTCAGCAGTCCTTTGGCAGAAAAAGAACAGATATTATTACAGTCAGGTGCACCGTTAAGATACGTCAGAAGAATTGCCAGAACCAGCAGTAGAAAACAGAAGGGAAAAGTGTATTTATGAAGAGCTCCGGTGTTGATGGGGTGTC